TGCAGAGACTGACGACGGCGGCGTCTGCCTAGACTGACGACGGCGGCGTCTGCCTAGACTGACGACGGCGGCGTCTGCCTAGACTGACGACGGCGGCGTCTGCCTAGACGGACGACGGCGGCGTCTGCCTAGACTGACGAAGGCTGCGTCTGCAGAGACTGACGACGGCGGCTTCTGCCCTCTTTGAAATTGTTGGAATCAGTTTATCTTAGCAGTGTGAGAATAGAAAGGGTTAACGGTGGTTTTAGCCATGCTATGCTAACCTGCTGATGTTTTTATTGCTTTATTTTATTTCCTGTTCTGATTGGTCAGAGCTGCTTCATCACCTTTAGGAAAATATTTCAGCAGATGGGAAATAACTTCTGCTTATTTCCTGTTTTAGTTTAAAGTTGAAAGTTTTCTAATCGACCAGATCAGCAGCGCTTTTAAAGCCACTAAGAAGGACTTTGTTTCTAACTTGACGCCTGGCGCAGGTTGAAGTGGAACCCAGACATTTGGGATGATCTTCTCCTCTTTGCCACCAGGCTGGTTTGCTGTTTTATTGTGTCAGAGGGGGCGGGACATTCTCCTTCTGCCCCCCCTCCTGCGTAAAGCTGTGCAGCTCTCCATGTGAAGGTGGAGTCCTCCTTCCCTCCTCATGTGAGGTTTCACCCACAGCTAACAGGTCAGCAGAAGATGCACTGAACCTGGACCTCCAGTTGTTCCTGGACCACCCAGGGACAGAGGTTCTGTTAGTGGACCTCCGTACTCCACCAGAAGCTCCGCTGGCTCACAGTGAAGAGTTGACTGACAGGCAGGAATCAATCAGCTTCTTGGAGACGATGGTGGAGAACTTTCTGAAGCATCCTGGTCGACGTTCAGGCGGTTCAGGATCATCTCTGCTGTTTGTTAGATGTTCTGGTCCCGATCAGAACCAACCAGAAACCAGAACTGTAAGCAGAGATGTTCTAGACATGAAGGCCACTGCTGTCCTGAGGTGATGAAGGTTCCTCCTCCTCCTCCTGGTCAGGGTTTAGATGTTGGCTCAGTTCTTCACTGGTGAATTCTCTCTGAATGAAGTTTAAACATGTAATCTTTTTCCACTTTAAATTTAGACTCAGACTTAGACTCAGCTTTATTAATCCCTTGGGATTACTCCTTTATGGAGATTCTGGTTCCAGCAGCTGAGTACAAAGAGTTAAAGCAAGAAGCCATTAAAGATAAAATACAACAGACGATATTAAAAGAGGAGTTGTACAGCCTGAGGAGCAAAGGAGTTCAGCAGTCTGTTGCTCCTGCATTTAGGGATCAGCAATCTCCTCTGAGTGGTGAAGACAGTGTGCAGAGGGTAGCTGGCATTGTCCATAATGTCCAGCAGTTTAAGTGTCCTTGCCTCTGCCACCGTCCCCAGAGGGTCCAGCTTCTAGCCAATCACAGAGCCGGCTGGCCTCACCAGTTTGTCCAGTCTGGAGGCGTCTAGAGGTGCAGAAGAGGACACTGGCAACCACAGACTGGTAGAACATCTCCAACAGCTTATTGCAGATGTTGAAGGACCTCAGTCTCCTCAGGAAGTCCATTCTGCTCTGTGTCTTCCTCTGCAGGTGGTTGTTGTGTGTTGACCAGTCCAGTTTATTATCCTGCAACATCCCAATGTATTGGTATGAATCCACAGCCTCCACCTCAGCCCCCTCCACCAGTACCGGCTTAGTCTTTGCTCCTTTCCTCCCACAGTCTATGACCACCTCCTTCGTCTTGGAGATGTTAAGCTCCAGGTGGTTGATGCGGCACCTGGTGGCCCCTAGTCCCCCACCAGACTCCTGTCCTCCTCCTTTCTGTTGTCCCTGATGCACCCACCATGGCTGAGTCCCTTCTGGATGTGACACAGCTCAGAGGTGTACCAGAAGTCCGAGGTGTACCAGAAGAAGAGGACAGGAGCCAGCATTGGGCCCCTGGGGGGCTCCTCTGCTGCTGACCACAGTTTCAGAGATGGTGTCTTTCAGCCTGACATACTGTGGTCTGTCTGTGAGGTAGCTGGAGATCCAGGCCCCCCGATGCTAGGGAAGAAGGGGAGATGTGTATGGATCAGCGGCTTGTCAAACCGGTTAACCCGGTTCAGGTCATCTGTCCTCTCCGTTGCTCCTCCAGCGGTCCTGGTCTATGTGGCTGTGATGTTCTCACACGGCTCTCCTGTTTTTCTCCTTCAGCTGCTGAAGTCTGCTTCACTTCCTGTTTCCCTTCACCGACAAACTTCCTCTGAATTACAGAGAAATTCTTTTTTTCTTTTAAAAATGTTACTTTAATATTGAAATTATTTTCTGCTTTTCTTGTTTCCACTTCCTGATTTTTTTTTTCTAAACCAACCTTGGAGCAGAAAACCTGATCAGCTGTGGTTTAGATATAAAATCTCTCATCTGTTGAAACACTAATAAAACATTTTAATTGGACTAAATAAGGATTCAACTGCTTAAGTGATTAACAGCGAGGAAAATAACATTAGTTCTCCCACTTAGAAACCATGGCGGGTCTGAAATCGTCACTGTAGGTTCATGTCCACTGTGAGAGACATGATCTAAAAAAGAAAAAAATCTAGAAATCACAATATATGATTTATTTTAACTGTTTATTTGTATGATCCAGCTGCAGAGAAGTATTTGAAGTCCAGTAGCCTTTGTTTTTTCATAGGTCAAACATTTCCTGTAGGTTTTCACCAGGTTTGCACTGCAGGGGGGATTTTGGCCCACTCCTCCACTAGATCTTCTCTAGATCAGTCAGGTTTAAGGCTGTCGCTCCCTACAAAGATTCTCTAGTGGGTTTAGGGTTATGGAGACTGGCTAGGCCACGCCAGAACCTAGATCTACTTCTTCCAAAGCCACTCCTTGGTCATCCTGGCTGTATTTTTCGGCTCATTGTGATGCTGGAAGACCCAGCCTCCACCCATCTTCACTGCTCTAACTGAGGGAAGGAGGTTGTTCCCCAGAATCTATCAATAAATGGCCCTGCTCATCCTCTCCTAATATTCTTCTTCTATGGCTAGTGGAGTTATGACCATAAAATTGTATTTTGGTCTCATGACTTTCTCCCATGACTCCTCTGGATGCTCATTAACAGCAGATGGGCTTTGACAGGTGCTGGTTAAAGCAGGGGAACCTTCCGTTCCATGCATGATTTCCAAACCATGTCTTTTCAACCGTAACCATGGAAATGGTGGTCCCAGCTTCTCCTGTCTAGTTCTGGGCTGATTTCTCACCTTTCTTAGGATCTTTGAGATCCCACCAGGTGAGATCCTGCATGGAGCCCCAGTCTGAGGGAGACTGACAGTCATGTTTAGCTTCTTCCATTTTCAGTGGAGCTTTTTCCAACCAAGCTGTTGGTTATTTCCCTGTAGCCCTCTCCAGCCTGGTGGAGGAGGACAGTTTAGTCTTCTTCCTGATTGTCTCTGGTGGACAGGTGTCTTTATGCAGCCAACCACCTCAGACTGGTGCATCTAGTTTAGGACGAATAGATGGAGGCGGACATTTTGAAAGCAGACTAACAGGGTCAAGGTTCTAGCTGATAGACAGATAAATATTTTAAAAAAATCACAGATAGTGATTCCTGTATTTTTTTAAGATCATTTCTCTCACAGTGGATATGAACGTACCATGATGATTTCAGAACCTCCATGATTTCTAAGTGGAAGAACTTAGAAAATAGCACATACTTATTTACCTCACTGTAAAGATTTAATTTCCGACAGGATCATTTTTTCCCAGCTGCTGTTTTTTCAGTAGAAGAGTCTCTGACCTCCTGTTGAAGTTATGAGAGTTTGACACTGAAGAAGAGGAGGAAGCTGAAGGTCAGCTGCTGACTGGAGCCTCTGCTTTGCTGTGCAGATGGCTGCGGGCCTACGAGAACGCCGTGTCCTTCCACTTCAGTAATTACTTCGTGGGTCATCTGAGTGAAGGCACCAGCATGTTGGCTGGAGCAGGATTCACTGAGGAGAAAGACAAAGTCCACTGGTAGGTTCTGCTGCTGGACCCGCCCAGCTGTCGGTGAAACCATGACGACGCTCTGCTGTGTGTTCAGGGATATGAGCGTGGTGAAGCCTCTCAGCGTGGAGATGCCTCGCTCCATGGTGCTGGTGGTGGTCTCCTGGAACATCCCCATGTCCCAGTGGTTAAAGAGCTGTGAGTCCAGCATCCAGACCTGTATGATGGAGAACTTCACCTGTTTTACGGCGCATGGATGATCTCTCCTCTGTCTCCCTCAGATGTGTTTAAAACCTCCATGAAGCTGGGGACGTTCCCAGCGATCCTGGTGACCTACACGGCCAGCGCCCTGCTGCATGTCAGTGAACTTTAGCCTGCTTCTCTGTCCGGTCTGGTCCACCTGTAGCTCGTCTCATTCCTCCACCTGTGTGTGTGTGGGTGTGTGTGTACCTGTATATGTGACCTATTTAGGACTGCTTTTTGGTATATT